AGCAGGCCGTCTCGCTGGTCGGCCTGGAACCGACCCCTTTGCCATTGGACGTTCCTAGCTGTTTGTCCAAGAATGAGGGGACTAGATAATACATCACCCTCAATAGCTCGGTGAACCAGTTCAAGGGAGCCTCTAACTCGCAGTGTTGGACCTCACTTAGGCAGCTCGAGGTATGACTTGACCTAATTAGAGGATTAAGTCACTACATGAATAATCGTTTTTAGTGGCGATAATTTTTGTCGCTATGTGTTTGAATGTCGTCACAAAAAATACCGTCGCTAATAATGTCGCTATATGTTCGAATGTCGTCACAATAATCGTTTTATAGTCATGACATTAATGTCGTCACTAAAATTAGTGTCGCTAATAATGATTATTCTTGTAATGAGTGGTCGAGCTCCTATAGAAGCTCGGACAAATGGAGGGGGACTACGACCTTAAGGTTGTGCAATAAAGCTAAGGTCGGGTTTCCGACCTGGCATGCTTCCACGACAGAGACCTAAGAGTCCTCTATGGTAAAATGACATAATTTTAGTAAGGATTAAAAGTAAATCTCGCTAAAGAGTTTGTCTCAAATCAATGAGAGGTGTTAAGCTAGGAAAGTATATACGGTTAAATCTGTTTCCCTAGCAATGACTCTATTTGAGCTTTGAGCAAGAAGATAACCATGGTATATAACGAGTTATCAGGCTAAGTTTTAACATAACGTGTTATTACGCCTTTACATAAACGTTAGCGGTTTTTCTGCGACCCTTCCCCAACGTATTTCCAAGTCACTAGAGTTAAAAAACGAAGGACCGTTCGTATTGGTACCGATTTAATCCAGTTCAAGAATAAAAGAGGACTCTACCCATGTGTGAATATGTACACATCTATTTACAAATTTTATGTATAAAAAAAAAAGAAAAAAAAATAACAATTAGGAGTGCTTGCGTTGCTCTCCTTTGGTAAAAAAATCGGGAGAGGGTTCGAGATAGTAAGGAAAAGAACACGAGGAAATTAAGAGATAAATAACAAAAACAAAAGTGAAAAAAGGAGAATTGTGCAACTTGTATGTCATGCAACAACTCACACCTTCCACCTCACCCATGCAACCCAACACGTTGCACTCTCTCCCTTCTTTTTATACTCCCCAAATCCCCCCTTCCTCCATCAATCAATACCACTAATATCAATATCTCCACCGCACCTACACATTCCACATATAAATCTCGATCCTTCCTTTGCTAATCCAATCAACAATGGCCGACCGCGACCGCGACCGTGACCGCCACATCCAATCTCATCCCCACTCCCGCTACGAAACCACCCGCGACCAACTCCTCCCCCACAAGGGCGGCGGTGGCCCCTCCGCCCAACAAATCTTAGCCATCGCCGCCCTCCTCCCCGTCGGCGGCTCCCTCCTCGGCCTCGCCGGAATAATCCTCGCCGGAACCCTAGTTGGCTTGGCCGTGGCCACCCCACTCTTTGTCATCTTCAGCCCAATCCTCATCCCGGCCGCCATCTTAATTGCTGGGTCGGTGGCCGGGTTCTTGACTTCTGGAGCATTTGGGCTCACGGGACTCTCGTCCTTCTCGTGGCTGCTGAATTCTTTCCGGAGGGCCACTGGGCAGGAGCCGATTGATTATGCTCGACGGCAGCTGCAGGAGGGAATTGTTCAAGTTGGGGAGAAGACTAAGCAGGTTGGGGAGATGGTGGGAGATAAGACGAGGCAGACGGGTGAGGCTATCAAGTCTAAGGCTGCTGAGGGCGGTGGGACAAGGGAAGGTGCTGCTGGCAGGACTTGAAATTGAAGAGGTTTGAAAGGGTGTGTGAGTGTGTGTGTGTGTGATGGGTGATGAATAATAATGGTGTGATGTGGTTTATTTTTATTTTGTGTTTTTTGTTGTTTATTTGGTTTGTGTGAGTTAGTGTTTTGATTGTGTTGTTGTGTGTTAGTGTTGTGTGAGAATGTAATGGTCCTTTAATATGTGTGTTGGATTTGGTTGTACATGTGTTGGTGTTTCTTTTAGTAATATTTTGTTGTTGGAGCGAAAATAAATTCGATGCATGCTAAATCAATAGCCTAACAAATTCAATGAGCATCTAGCAAGTATGAGTGAAACCGATTGAATTTTTGCAAATCTGATGATTTTTGTGCAATCTTTGAAATGGATGAATATCTGGGACTAATTTCTTCCAGTAGACGGATATTAAAAACGATTCTTACCAATACTCGGATAGTTAAAACTATTCTTCACCTGAACATAAAACTATTCTTTCCAATACTCAGGATAATTTAAACTATTCTTCACCTAAAGATAATGCAATCGCTATTCCAAAAAATTGCAAGTAACCATGATTGTTTGAGGCAACAAACTTGTGAACAATCACTACGATACTGATAACGCAAAGGGCCAAGTCGAGGCATGCAAAGTATTTCAGTGAATTTCACATAGACGTTTGTAAAATAAAAGTGAACTTAATGCGGTAAATTAGAGGATTATCAGGAGGCAGGGGATCCATCGTTGGGGATCCAAAAGGTAAGAACAGAGGAAGAAGCAGCAGCGAACATCACTCTGCGTGGGGCCCACCTTAGGCATGACGGGACACCTATGTAGCTCTCCAACGATGCCACCTGTCCATAATCCGAAGAAATTAATTAAAACCAAGTTGTGAACATCATACTCAATGCCCTGTCTGCTTTGTCTCCCATCTGCGACGGAGTGAGTTGGAAACTAATTAACTCAGAGGGAACAATTACGCAAACTAGCTTCCAATCTCTGTCATAAATGGAATAATTACAGAGTGAGTTGCTACAAAGTTTTCATCTGTTTATTTTTCACTTTTTCACTATTGTCATTTTATCTATTTTTTCGTATTATGGACTTTGAATATACGTGAGATGTAGTTTTTATGGAGCCTTCTTTTTTATCCTCTTGTCTGCTAATTGTACAAATGATGGCAATTGTCTTTGACATCTGCTGCAATCCTAATTTGTCTGCGTATATAATTGGAAAACTGTTGTACAAAAATTAAAAAACTATTGCATCCGTGAACAAACTACTGCATATTTAAAAATGTCAGTGCCTGTTGATTTTGCAGGCAGCAAAACACAATCGCAAAATATAGGAAAGAAAGACATTTATCCATTCATACCTTGTTTGGCTCATCGTTGATGTTCCATGTATGTATATATCCATCACCCGAACCTGAAAGGAAGTTCATCACCAAGTTCAGTCAATGTGCACATACTGACTACAACAACAACATTATGCATATCTTTTCAATTTTCCCCATAATAACAGAAGCAACTGATTCGAATTCAAATACTTTGCAGAACAGGACGAATTAGGTTCCAAAACACAATGAGATGTTTAGGGTAAAACTATGAAAGAATAAGCATTACTGCAAAAAATTACTCCAGAGATATAACCTAGTCACAAAAAAAATACCAATCTTTCATAATTACAACTAATTACTAACATGTGTTTCTTCTACATTTTAAGGGGATATTCAAAGTTTTAAAGGTAACATGAACTTTTTGTAATTGGGCTAAAGCATGAGAGCGGTTATTTGTGATTATTCCTTGAAATTAAAAACAAAATTTAAAAAGGGAAAAAAGCATGCAAGCATATAATCAAACTGCACCAGTCAATTATAAAAAGTAGCCACTCATAAAATACATTTTACAATAAGTGATGTTCAACCAACACAAAAGCCAGCCAAAAGACAATTGGGGATTAAAATTTGCATATTCAACAAGAAGTACCAGAGAGCACATATTGGCCATCAGGGGTGAAAGTCGCCTCTATGGTTGCATTTGGGGAAGAATCCATAGTAAATCCACACTTCTGAAACAGCAAAAATCAAAAACTTTTGAAGACATATTTATGTGCAGATTTATAGAAACAACTGTTTCCACTTGTGATTCCCAGCCCATATCGGAAAAATAGTGAATGAATCATTGCATAATTTCTATCCTTATGAATCAAGTTGGGTAGGTTTATTCAACATTTCATATGCAATTTTTTATAACTGTACAAATTTGACCGGTTTTCCTACACGTAGTCGCTCTTAATGGAGCCTTACAGCAAACTTGGCTTCCACTTAGCACACTGCCATAACCATCAAATTTATTCTTTTGCATTCTGTTATAAAATCCAAGAATCCCATTCCGCACCAAATTAGACGAGCTAAAAAAAAACTACCAGCCCTTTGCTCAAATCCCATTCCACAGATCTGATGAGCTGTGTCAATAAAACTGAAACCCTTACTAAAATAATTCCGGGTGCCTTAAAGCTCAACTCTCCCTGCTTAAATTTGAAGAAGGAAGTCAACCACCACATTGAGATGACAAAGAATCCAACTCAGGGACTCACTTGCAAGATTTAAAGAGGCCAGGCCTGTTAGCAAATTGGAGATGACAAACCCCTACAATAATATTTCTTAAAAAGCCATTGAAGGGTCATGAACATTTTTCGTCAGGATGAAGAACAAACGCGTTTGTAAACTTTTCACATACATGAAAGAAAAAGGAGTATAGTTCTTTTCTCTTCAATTGATGAAGAGAGGAGCAAGAAGAAAGAATGAAGGGGAGAAAACGGTAAGAGTTTTATTTTACTTTGTTCTTTTACCCCCCCAAAAAAAAAAAGAATGGGATTTTGGATAGAGATTGAGGGGCAATTTTCCAAAGCACTGTTTGTTGGTTGTGCCTGCGAATGAGATTACTGATGGATTTTTTATTTTATTCATTTTGATTCTTCACATTTTCGCAAAAATGTTCTAAAGGCAGTTTGAAGGCCAGAAAAAATGATTTCTTCACTTTATTATTCTTCTCATCTTGTTCGAAATGGCTTCCAGGGTGGAACAGTGGTGGGGAAGGACGAAAGCACAGAAGACACATGAGATGAATGCAGGACGAGAGTTGCTGTTTTCTCTTTCAGGTAAGTAATTTGAAGTGGGATGTAATTCGAGCATTTGAAAGAAGAAAAAGGAAGGTTTAGGAGGGTTAGGAAGCAGAGCGGAGGGCAATGGGCATATCAGCAATATAGTATAATGGAGCCTTATGTGATTTTCATAGATGAAGTTTGACTCTTACACATTTAACACCTAATATGGGTTCCACAATTCCACATTCTTTCTTTCTTCCCACCCATTATATTGGTCATTTAAAATTTAACAGACTGATCTTAATTTGGAAATAAGTTTGAACAAATCAAATATATATATGTCGTAAACTCTGTCCTATCTTCTTAGCATAAAACTCAAATTTAAGATCATAATCATGTTATGAAAGAATAAAAACACTGAATTACTTTATTCGGGGTCAGAATGGAGATCAAAAATATTTTCTACGAATATTTTACATTTCTAAACAAGATAATAGTTACTATTGAACAGTAACAAAATTGTCTAGGATTCACAATTTAAAAGGGAAGATTCTGGTCTCCTCTGAACTCACAAATTCAAGAAACACCTAGAACCAATTTTTTTCTTTTAGTTTTGGTTTATTAAATAAAAATAGAAGACTGGCTCAGGACAAGACTGACCTTCTCTCCATGGTAAGCATCAAGGACATATACATGGTTATTCGTTGTCGTTAGAAGCATTGATTTACCGTCATTGCTGAACTTAATATCACACACCTCAGCTGTATCACCACCAACTAGAAAAGTATCAAACGGGCCCTAAAAAAAAATATAATTATATAGTGAACAAACATAATATGCAATACAAACTTGTTTCGAACACGAACCTTGTCATACGATCTGGAATCAAATAGTTTAATTGCACCTCCTTCCATAGCCACTGCAAAAACCAAGCCTTGTTGATCATAAGCAACAGTAGGTCTACCTCTCAGATGTAAAATTCCCTGAAAGCTACATCAGAAAGCTCACATCAAACGTGACATACTATTTTCAAATCTATATCACATCCAAAGACTGAAACTCAAATAATAGTGGCATTATCTCTTATTCTAAGGTTTGATAGAAATATTCCGCTAAAAAATGTAGCATAACCTGCTGCATACCAACTCTTTTCATGGAACTGGTATTGGAGAGGCATATTTAAAATTGGAATAACTAAAAATAAAAGCTAACCTGACAGGCATTTACACGAAGATCCCACATTCGAACACTGTGGTCTAGAGAACCAGACATGAAGCCATCATTGACTGGAGACATGCACAGGGATACTACCCTACAACCAACTCAACCAAATTCTTACATAGATAAGCATTAAAATTCAAATGAGCAACAATTTCAAGGGACAGTTATCCAACTTGACATACAATAAATGTACACTACACAGATGAAATTCCAGGCAGACAAGTATTATGAAGAAAATTTTGTTCCGAATAATGATAAAAACTAAAAAACAAACTTAGATTTTTTTATTTGTGAAATGCATGCTATCCACGCTACATAAGTGACTCCAACAACTCATTTCTGGGAAGCACTACCTGTTGCGGTAAAACTTCACCATTGATAACATATCTAAACAAGTTTGCATAAGGGTTTAAACCAAATAGCAGTGCAAATGCTTAAGAACATGGCTAACCAGTGGTACCCACACTCTACATTAAACTAAAAGGACTTTGTCCAATCCAAAATTTAGGGGAATGTGAGATTTTCACCTAAATGACAAATTATTACCATAAAATCCATACTTGTGATGCTGAGTTAGTAGAAACACAGTAATGATGGAATATAAATTTCACCTTCAGACCAAACAAGTTTGAATCATTTACCTCTCTTTGTGCCCCTTGAAGTATCGAAGGCACCTATTATCAAACATTGACAGATACCTCAAAGATTCTGCCAAGTAAAACGATAGGGGAAAAAATCAGAACCAGCTTCTCAAGTAATTTGCAGACTGTCAAAATGTAGCTAAAGACTAAAGTATGCTACCTTCATTAGAGTCCGAGTTTTTCGAAGAGCAAATTATGGAACTTGGGTGGTGAGTGAAACATATCCTGTCGGCCCCATGTTTTTTATGATATGTCGTCTTCAGCAATCTGGATAATAAAAACACAATAAAAAAAAAAAAAAAAAAAAAAAAAAAAAAAAAAAAAAAAAAAAAATACGACATTAGAGTGAAAGGAAGCATGAGAAAGAGAAAAAAGATAGCAACTCAAAGGTCTTACTTAGCAGAAGCAATGTCATATAGCCGCACTGAATCATCATCGCTTGATGTCACCAACAAATCCGCTGTCCGGTGGAAATCTAAAGAATTGATTTTCCCTCCCTGAAAAGGCATAATTAAAAAAATGCCTCATCGAACTCTACATGAATACTTTCTCAAACAATTAACTAACAACAGAACAGAAAATATTCAGAAAGTCTTTGGAATTTGCATTTGCATTCCTGAACAATAAACGAAACCCTGCAAGTACAGAAAAGTCAATTCTGCCACTAGTAGCTGGACTTTTACAGGCATCAGCATCACATAACCTTCCAGCATATATTTTTCCTATTTGTAGTAATTGCGATTCACAAATCACACAATTTAGCTCGAATTTACACCTTCGAAAATTGTAAATTCAACAAAACTAAGATAAAGGGTTCAAAAGAAACTGACGAAATCTGAGAAAACAGCACCGACGGCCATGCTACGAAGTATGTCGTCATTGAGCTCCGATAGTGACGTCATCCCAACGGCGCCTAATTCTCGGGACAGGAATGCAAAGTGGAAATAGTGTAACGATTAATTGGCAGGAAAACTGTTATAAGTATAAAAAGAAAAAGGTCTGAATTTGTTTCAGAATTGGCAAAGTGAATAGGGTTTTATTGTGGGCTTTTATGCGGGGATACGATGAGAATAATGCTGTGCCTACTACCAAAATAATTATACATGGCCGGATCCAGGATCGAGGATCCATTTCAGGCCAGGGGTTGGCTGGCCCGAATATATGCACGGGACAGTTCGGTAAACCGACGGTTCTAGGAACAGGTATGTGGTCAATGGACCTTGAAATGAAAAGTAGAGTTAGATAAAGAAATGAAAAATAAAATTTATATGGGTCGTATTCGTAGATTTTTAAACATTTTAATATTTTCAAAATTCTTTTAACTTAGCAGTGTGTATTCCTTTAAGGCCCTGTTTGTTTTTCGAGATAAGATTGTACTAAATTTATATATAGTGGGTGAATTGTACTGTACAGATAAATATAATCTTGTATTTGCTAAATGTGATTGATGGTTTGGATAATTTTACATTTAACTCATACACTAGTTTGTTATTCATAATAAATTAAAGGATTAAATGTGAATGTCCAATTTTGCCCTCTTTAAGCTTGTACAATGGTCTTCAAATTTTNAGAAAACCCTATCCAAGAAGGACTGCGAAATCGTGGGAAATTGGTATTGTCTTTGATCAATTATTATCTTGACAAAAATCTCGTTTAACTAAACATTTTATGTTGTAAGTATGTTTAGCAGTGAGGAAAACATTTTGTATTGCAAGTATGTTTAGCAGTGAGGCCCTGGTCCTAACTAACCTCCTAAACATCCTCTCGAGCTCTCCCTCCATCTCCTCCACCACAGCCTTCACCTCCTCCAGCCTCTTCCCCGCCGCTCTAACCTCTGCCACCTCACACTTCTCCCACAGCCTCAGGCTATCCACCCTTGTCAGGCTCAGCCTGAAAATCGAATCCTTCCTCACCGAACCCCCTTCTCCAGCAGCGCAATCAAGCTCATCAGTGACTGGACCTCCGCTAGTACCTCCACCGCCGCCACCAGGCTCCCGCCTTCCTCCGACGGCGGCTTGGCCATGTCAGGCATCTTTGGCACACTAAGGGGACAATTGGGATTTCCTCTGAGTTAAGCCACATCCCAGAATTGTCTATGGCATGCGTCATATATATACGGGTAAGCTTTGTGGGACGTTTCCTTCTTGTAGCATGCATGAACATAATCCTCTAGATTGTGCCCCAAAAAAACATGACATAGATAGCATGTGTACATGATATTCCATTAAGCTTTGATCTCCTACAGCTGCATGCTTTGAGACTCGAATGTACTTTGTATCTGGAACTAAAAGTTTGATTCAATTCAAACTCGTCCTCATCATTCCAGTGTGCAATGAAGTCTAATGCTTTTTTTTCTTTTAATTGTCAGGAATTTTACTGATCTTAGGAGATAATTTGTAGAGAATTTCAACATCATGTCTCTTCTCACATGCAACATCTTCATCAACATTAACATGATCATCTATCTCCATTTGCGTTCGATGATGATCATAGCTGATCTATATATTATAGACTCGCATTGTATCGTTTAAAACTTTTTTGATGACTCTAAAACGATATGTCGATCAACAAGATCGAGATTTTGCCTCATCAACTTTGGAATTTCTATTGTATATCCAACACCGGTTCCGATAATTTCAGTGAGAGACGATTTGTTGGAACCTTCTTCTCAAAATTTTCTCATGCATGCTTGAATAAAAGAGAATGAAAAAGATGAGTGTTTTAGAAACTCAATCTTCCCTTCTCTCTGAAATTTGCATGTATTCTCTCTCTCTCTCTCTCTCTCTCTCTCTCTCTCTCATGATTGAGTTAGCCGAAATTATGAGAGGCAAAGGTGTATTTATAGGATACAACATGTATCTAAAGGATATGCTAGAGTAGAACTCCTAATAAGATTATGTGTATTTGGTTCTAGCCTGCCTATACCTAATCAGTATAAATAATAATCCGGTCTACTAATGGATTACTATTGAACTTACCTAACCCAAAAATATCATTTGGCTCCAAATTGATCTACCCATGTTACGATATCGATGTTCATTGATTAATTTAATAACTAGTGATTTAATTAATTAACTTCTTATTCTGAAACTAGTATCATTCAACCTTGTTATTATGTCAGAACTTAATCAACCTGCAGAGTTTAATAATCATCTTAAGCTTATTTTGAGGGCATCATTAGTCTGATGCATCAGGACACAATGCTCGTAATAATCAACAACGCACCATATATACAACATTACTTACCAAAACACTAAGGTTGTCGATTTAGTACATATATTTAACTCATTGGTGATTCTAGAAACTAATATTGAGTACACGTGCCCGTTATTTTATTACAAAATTCAAAATGAGTACGAGTTATAACCGAGGTCTAGTTCATTTACGTGGTTAGCACAAAGTGAGCTTAACCTCCAAGGTCCGCTCAATATATTCTAAGTGTATTAATATAGTTCATTATTCAAGACAACTAATTATAAAATATCACTACAACCATTCTCTATAATTAGTTCATTTCTATCTGGGTTGTAAATCTTATTTATATTTTACAAGGCACCGATAATATGATCTTCTTTTCAACACGATGAACATAATTATCTTCAATGTAACATAATTGAACTTTTCGCATGATAAAAATGTAAAAATACACTTGATCAAGTATGATTCTCATTCAAACGAAAATAAGTTTGTAACAAACGTTAAAAGCGAAGCGAAGTCATAGAGATTTGGTGTAATTGAGTCAAATCCCAGTTCACCCTGTCATATGCCTTTTCAAGATCAATCTTTATTCGTTATTACCACAGTATCTAAAATATCTGAAAGTGAGGACGAATTTTACTCATCGTCAATGAAGCCTAATGCTCTTCGTCGGTAGGCTCTCCGTATGGATCTGCTAGGTTGTCTGCTGATGCAATATTGGCGAAAATGAATTCTCATCTTTCTATGATGTCTCGTATCATGTAATACTTGCGCTCAATGTGTTTACTCGCCTTATGGGATCAGGGTTCCTTTGAGTTTTCTAATGCTCCACTATTATCACAATATATTGTGATCCCCGTGGGAAAACTCGATACCACATACAAGCCCAACAAGGCGTTTCTAAGACAAACAAGTTCTTTCGCTACCTTAGAGGCTATAACATACACGGCTCCATGGTGGAGTATGCAATGCATTTCTGCTTGACACTTCGCCAAACTATGGCTCCACCTCCCAAAGTAAACAAATATCTTTAGGTAGATTTACTTTCATCCCGATATAATTGAAAATCAAAACCAATGTAACATGGAGGCAGCAGTTCATTTGTCTGGTAAACTAACATGTAATCCTTAGCCCTACTCTGTTACTTGAGTATATGCTTTACCGCAGACCAATGTCTTTTTCCTTGGTTACTTTGATATTTTCCAACCATGCCCTCAACATAACAGTTATCCAGTCTCGTACACAATATTGCATGCATTAGGCATTCTACTGTCGATGCATAAGAAAATGTCTTCATGTCCTATACCTCTTAAGTTTTGAGAGACATCTCCTTGGACAGAGACACTCCATGCTGAATTACATAAAACATTTCTTGGAGGAGAAATGCTATAGGTACATAATATTGTACATAGAGGTGTACATAACACTTACATTGAGTGGGGCCCACCAAAAATAAAAAATCAAGTGGACCCCACTCCATGTGAGTGCTATGTACACCTCTATGTACATTTATTATGTACTTGTAGCATTTTTCTTCTTGGAGTTATACATGTTGAAACAGACCAAGACGATATCTATGTACAAAGCTTGAGATAAGCATAACATTCTTTTATTGTGATCCCTTATAACTTGGATCCCAATAATATGACTTGTTTCTTCAAAGTCTTTCATATCAAATTATTTGGACAACCATATTTCCACGTCTGACAACATCTTTACATTGTTTTCAATGAGAAGGACGTCGTCTACGTATAGTACAAGAAATACCATCTTTCCGTCACTTTTCTTGTATACGTAATGCTCATCGAAGAGCAAAACGAATTTTTACAATTGGATTACCTCATCAATTCGAATGTTCCAAGACGTCAAAGCTTGTTTTAGTCCATAAATTGATCGTTTTAGCTTATAGACCAAATGCTCTTGGCCCTTTGAGATGAACTCTTCTCTTTTGGTGGTTGCATATATAGATTTATTCCTTTAGACTTATGTTAAGGAATGTTGTCTTGATATCTAAATCTCAGATCTCATCATAATTTATATGATCGACAACAGTCAAGAGGATTCAAATAGACGTAAGCATCAACAATTATAAAAGTGTGTGTATAAATAGTAAATTTTATAGATAAATGTATAGTAACAATTTATTTTTTATTTAAAAAATATAGAGAGAAGAATTAGATTAGTAATATATTTTTAATTGCTAGATGAAGAAATGAGATTCAAAACATATCTAATTTTTAATTTAGTTTAACCAAATCAAAGTGAATTTTATTTTTAATTATTACATAATTGAAAAAAAAAAACATTAAGGACAAAGTAAACAGAACAATGGCATCAAAGTTTGGATCTATTGTCAATTTACTTCAGTTTTTTTATTAGTGTAAAGGGACATTCATTTTCATTGTTTGCGTGAGCAATACACTATTTGTTTTATACAGGGTTACTAAAATTAGTTACATATTAAAGTGATGACAAACAGAAATAAACCCAGTCCACGAAATAGGGGTATGTACCTAATTTACAACAACAGCAACATGATATACAATCCAATTTTCCAATTTCTACTTATAAGATGATGTGTCTATACCTTTTCCTCCTAAGCGGCCGTGGTTACTCCATTTGTTGCTTCAGTAGAGATGACCAGAGCAGACTGCAGAATAGAGCAAAGCGTTTTACATAACACGCATATGACTCACTAATCTTTCCATTTAAATACATTTATCAGCATTCCTATTTCCTTTAAAATGTGACCAAACACCTTTAAGACTTGATAGACGAAGAGAATATGCAGCACTCACCATGTTAAGGAGGCGAATAGCAGCAGGCCGTGTGAATTTCCTCGCAAAAAGGAAGCATCCAGATGGTTTACCCTTGCTCGTGCACCATTCTCGCCTGTTCTCGGACTTGTAGAAGATGTTATCTACATTCTGAACAAATCAGAAACATAAACTTCTTGTGAGTATCAAACTTTGACTTGTTGAGCTTTTCCTAGACAACACAAACCAAGCGATAGACTGTATAGTAGAACCAAAATCCCTTGTACTTGCAAATGAGTCACTAATTTACATATATGCAGATAGACATTCGATTTTTTGGTGGTGTTGTGCATCCCCTTGTAGGGTCAATGTCATCTTTTAAAAAAATAATAATAATAAATAAATAAAAATAAAATTATTGCATTTCAAAGGCAATGGTGATTATTTGCGATTGAGGAAGATTAAAGACGCAACTCCATTAAGACAAACACGAAGTTACTTTGATTATTCCCTATAGTTTTGATTTCCGACTTCAATGGCATAGCTCCTCCAACACTTATGTTGTTTCATAGATTTTACTTTAGATAGCTAACAGCGAATTTGTTAAGGAAATGGACATGTGGAAAGTTCGATTCACAACAAACTCTTCACTAAAGATAACTCATATTTTAGGCTTAGTTGCATTAATATATATGCAGTGTAACCTTTTTTTCTTTTCCCCCAAAAAAGAAAGACCTCAAACATTTCCACCTTTTATAACAACCAACTAGTTTCAAAACATGTCTATATATGCATGCTTCAGTAATTATGACTTCTGCACAACGCGTTACATATAACTCTCTACATATACACGTAGGCTCCTAGGCTGTCAGTGATTTTTATGAGTTGGTTCTGACCATATGAAATCATTAAATAGGAAAGGTTAAAAATGAAAATTAAAGGCAATCCCAAATGTACCTTGATGGACTGGATAAGTTGCGGGGTAGCATCAGCCAATTTGTAAGTCACGGGATGCCATCCTCGCCTTTCATTGTTTCTGGAGGATGATAGGTCCCATGAAGTATGAGTCAGGGACCTCCTAGTAATTTCATTTTGAAGACCTCTTTGCTGATCAGTTTAAGAAACAGGGACAAACATGGATAACCAATAAAGGTGTGTTAGGGTGGGCTAACTTGCTTTAAATAACTATATAATGTCATAATAGTTTTTAATTGAGTTTTGAAACAATATTAAATACAGATGCATATAATGTATGGAATATTATTTATATCATATTAATGTACTTATTGAGATTATATTTATCTAACATCATAAAAAATGATGCTGATCTTCAGATTGAAATACAATATGTTAATATGTTATGCATGGAAGAAGAGTAGAAAACAAGCTGGATACGGTGTCGAAAATAAAAATTGGAAAATTAAGATTGGATTAACTTTATAAAACTTCACTATACTTAAAAGAATTTACTTTTTAATAAAATAAAAATATAGCTAGAGGGCTGAGGTAGGAGACGGCAGTAGCCCAATGCATCCCACTTTGGATCCGCCAGCATTACAGTTGACTATGCTGGAATTGGTCAAATGGTTAACTACCTAGTCTGTATGAAAAATAGATAACTTACAAAAAGTAAGGTTTGAACATAATGCTCATCTGGTATGCAGTTATGCTCCTTAGATCCATCTGCAGGCTGCACACACAGTGACATTGAATAAAATGAAGAACGCAATTTTAGTTTTTTCATTCGATTCAATAGTTATTTGCAATATCCAGATATTGTCGCTTTGTATAAAATATCATGTTAGTTATTAATCTAAAGAGGATAGAGAGTGTAGGAAACAAAAAAACGAATACAACACTTACAAGGGGTTGTTGCCGCCAAAACTCAGGTAATGACTTCCTCTGTGGGAGTTGAGCAAAGAGCAGTTCAATTAATTTCATGTAACAAGAGATTACATTGCATACAACATTGTTGGAACAATTACCCCCTCCCCAACAAAAACGAACAAAAGAACAAAAATATTGCAATTTCATTTTTTGTTTCCCCTCTTCATATGCAACAAACATAAGAACATTATTGCTATCCCCTAAAAGTTCAAGGAAAAGACAAACCTCAATGGATTAATTTTGTAATCACGAATAAAACGGTCAAATATTTCAACAAATATTCAAAATTGTAAAGAAACATAAAAGTAAACTACCCTAGCACGATTACTTCATTACTAACAGATAACCTCTTCACCATGCACGACCACACAACAAAATGATAAATTAACTTACCCTGCAGTACTGCTCAAACAAAGGGTATACAATGTCGTCTTGAACAACAATCTCGGCATGTTTTCTTGTCAGAACCGCCCACTGCAAGAACCAAACTTCACATCATGCTAGAACTGGATACAACACAAAGTTCTCTCTTTCTTAAAACTAAGGTCAATTTACATGAGGCTATTTCCAAGCTGGTTAAAACACACAGAAAATACATACACACACACACGTGTGTGTTTGTGTGTATATATTATATGGAGAGACAGAGAGAGGTACCTGAGATCCTTTCCTCCAGAGTTCAACAGGAATCACTGGATGCATTTTTGGATGGTAGCGGTCTTGGTCTGGGTCAATAAAGCTGATTCCATTATTGCAAGAACATTAGATTGTCATTGAACAAATTGGGCAGTGAGTGTGACATTTATAAGGAGAAAAAATTCGAAGAAGAAACAATACCAAAACAGATCCAAAAGCTGGTAATCTGTGAATAACTATGTAAAGGAACCCAATGAGCCCTATATATCCTCACTAACCTGTCCACAAAGCTAGTTGAAACGGACATTATATAGTCGTATGTGTAGCTGAAATTATACAAAGGTATGCAGCTGTAACACGATAGGAAAGAACAAAGAACATCAGAAACAACTTGACTGGGTAACTCAGATAATAAATGAAATTTTCAGACTTTTCTTACAATCAAACATAGAAATTTACTACAAGTCATGGGAATGGAAACCAATGAAATAAACATCAGCAAGATCAAACTTGTACCTGTCTGAGAGGAAAATGAAGCGTTCATTAAACGGGTCAACTAATGCATTTTGGAGCAAAATACGTTCAGCCTGGATCATGCTAGCTTGGCCCCAATCTACCTGAAAATGAAGCATCCTTGCTATATATATATCAATTGCAGCACATAGAATAAACAGACTCCTAGATTCAGATCTGCGTTTAACTGACATATGGACAGACAGCAAAAAAATATTATTAGAAAAAAATAAAGTTATTAACTGGAAGCAAAACCTGTATACTATCATTAATTTGACGATTCAAAAAGTACTTTGATCTTGTCGTTGCTGCATGTAATGAGAACCCTGGCCTTGAATGAACATAAACTGAAAATCTATCCTCCATAGCACCCTACATAACAACAGAAACATTTTTCTGGGACAAATCAGTGACGAACAGATAAATAAAAAGAATTGTTTTTAGAGTACAATTTAATGATAGTCACTAGGACTGGACTGGGCCACCTGCATTGGAGTAAATACTAAATAGGAATTTGCAAAAAGTGATGAGGAACAATCAAATGCCTAACACAATAACATGTTTCTTCTAGTTCTTGGCAAAAAGACATTATTGTTATCGTTTTTATTTATTTACCATGATCACTGCATTTCACCATCTACTTGGTCGTGTCTTGAAATTTTTTTAAAAAAAATTAAGTTTTACAGAATTGTGTGTCAGCAGTTATAAAAAGGGATAAAAGTCAGCTGCTGGTTCAACTCAAATATTTCATTTGGTGCAGCAAATGAAATTCCATGATTGGCCTCACAGCAAGTGCAATGCCACGATTAGCAATTAAGAAAACAAACTATAATCTCCCTCATTCTTCAAAAATAAAAATTGTTCACATCCATAAGCTATTTTTGGTAAATACAACAATGCACTAAAGCAGATGCCAATAATATAAGCAAATACAAGCAATGTCCATCTCAGTCAAAAGACTCAAAAACAAACAATGCACCAAAAACAGGATAAAAAAGGAAAAAAAAAATAGGCTCAAACACAGAATAAGTAAACAAGCAATAAATGACTGAGAGAAATGCAAATACAGAAATGTAAGCGAAAAAAGGAAAATGGAAAAGAGATAGATACCCGAAAAAAAACATCCCACGCGACATCAAGCGGGATCCGATTCCTGGCGATGAAAAGGAAGGCTATCTTGGGCTTCCTAATCAATGGTGGATATGTTAAACTCACTGTATGTATTCTGCTTCGCAGCGATTCAAATAAGGCAAAGGTCGCAAAACAAGATGCGACCAATAGCATCGAGAGTAGCTTCCTCTTCCACCGGTAATGGAGTTTCGGCCAGCTTGACCTTCGCATCATCTGTGTGCTCCTCTGACTTTGCCACTCATTTAAGTTGATCTTGGAGAATTTTGCTAAGCTGTCAACATTAACAGTACACAATTTCTGCATGTAAATCGATATCACACGCATAAATTCCGTAAGATTTGTTCTGCATTTTTTCCAAAACGAAAAAGGAAAAAAGAAATGGTATTCAGATCCAGGGACAGTTTCGGGGTAATACTAAATCTGAAGAGTCAGGAACTCCGTGAACTTGAAGCTATTAATTTTTATACGTCTTCGAGAAGGAATCGAGCCACACTTTGAAGTAAGATATGAATTGGTACTTGGAAGTGAGGAAAAGCTATGAATTGAGTTTAGAAGAGTGAAGTGTATAGAATTTACATAAAAAAATATTAAAGAAAGTTTGGTGGTAAAACCGTATCACCTATGATAAATAGGTCATGAATTGGAGTTACTGAGAAGGAGAAGTGTGAACACTCTATTTTAAAAAAGTAAAAAAAAATACTCTGATAGTCTAATTGAAGTGAGTAAGATTTTACTCGGGCTCCTTCGACTCAGTCGGCCTCCGTACCTCTGCAAGAACGCGAGCGGCACTTTTACAGAGTCAGAAAGGATCTTAGCCAAACGCGGCCAGTAGTCAACGCCGGGAAGGGTCCCGACGTCGGGCCTCCGACGCTCAAGTCAGTATCACTCCAAATCCCAAGTGTAGTAATGAATGTAGAAAGAGTGAGAGAATGGGATACCTTAGCCCCTTTTATAGGGGAGTGTACCTTATGGCCCATGTTGGGCTTGCCCAATAGCCTCATGCCACGTGTCCTAGCCATGTGTAGGCTTATTCGTCAATATATTCCCTTTTTATTCATTAAAACCGGTCCAGTATAATATCCTATATCATCTAGTCCCCCCCACTCTGGTCGAGTCTGAATGACTCGATCTAAGAGTGAAATTCCTCTTCGGGCTATTTCTGTTAACCTGCCATTGAGCTTATAATTTGAATAAATTCTCGACCACCGAATAGTCACCAAACCTCCAAATGAGCATCGGGACCCCCAATGAACACCGAATGACCACTAAGGTCAAAAACTGAAAGACCCGCCACTGGGGTCGAATACCGAAAGCTGATCGACCACTAAGGTCGGAAACCGAGTGACCCACCATTGGGGTCGAATACCGAAAGTTGATCGACCACCGAGGTCGAAAACCGAGTGACCCACCACTGGGGTCGAATACCGAAAGCTGATCGACCACCGAGGTCGAAAACCGAGTGACCCACCACTGGGGTCGAATACCGAAAGCTGATCGACCACCGAGGTCGAAAATCGAGTGACTCACCACTGGAGTCGAATACCGAAAGCTGATCGACCACCGAGGTCGAAAACCGAGTGATCCACCACTGGGGTCGAAAAACAAGAACTGAATGACCGCTCTCCAAAATCTTGAATTTGAAAATTCGAACTTATGTATGTTGTATTTCGATCACCATGTTCGAACTCTCTTAGACAACCTCATCCTATCGCCCCGTAAGTTCAAAATTTAAAATTCAAGCCTGTTGTATGTTTCCTCAAAATCTGAATGACCTTCATGAACATACTCTGAATGAACTCCCTCGACATGCCACCAAGGTTGAAAAATAAATTCGACGAAAACAAGAATCAAATAAAGATAATCGACCTGCCACTGAGGTCTGCTCGACCTATCCGTAATGAACTTCATCTCCCTTCTTTTGAAGTCGAAAAATAAATTCGACGAAACCGAGAATCAAATAAAGATAATCGACCTACCACTGAGGTCTGCTCGAGCTATCCGTAATGAACTCCATCTCCCTTTTTTTGAAGTCGAAAAATAAATTCGACGAAACCGAGAATCAAATAAAGATAATCGACCTACCACTGAGGTCTGCTCGAGCTATCCGTAATGAACTCCATCTCCCTTTTTTTGAAGTCGAAAAATAAATTCGACGAAACCGAGAATCAAATAAAGATAATCGACCTACCACTGAGGTCTGCTCGAGCTATCCGTAATGAACTCCATCTCCCTTTTTTTGAAGTCGAAAAATAAATTCGACGAAACCGAGAATCAAATAAAGATAATCGACCTACCACTGAGGTCTGCTCGAGCTATCCGTAATGAACTCCATCTCCCTTTTTTTGAAGTCGAAAAATAAATTCGACGAAACCGAGAATCAAATAAAGATAATCGACCTACCACTGAGGTCTGCTCGAGCTATCCGTAATGAACTCCATCTCCCTTTTTTTGAAGTCGAAAAATAAATTCGACGAAACCGAGAATCAAATAAAGATAATCGACCTGCCACCGAGGTCTGCTCGAGCTATCCGTAATGAACTCCATCTCCCTTTTTTTGAAGTCGAAAAATAAGTTCGACGAAACCGAGAATCAAATAAAGATAATCGACCTGCCACCGAGGTCTGCTCGAGCTATCCGTAATGAACTCCATCTCCCTTTTTTTGAAGTCGAAAAATAAATTCGACGAAACCGAGAATCAAATAAAGATAATCGACCTGCCACCGAGGTCTGCTCGAGCTATCCGTGATGAACTCCATCTCCCTTTTTTTGAAGTCGAAAAATAAGTTCGACGAAACCGAGAATCAAATAAAGATAATCGACCTGCCACCGAGGTCTGCTCGAGCTATCCGTAATGAACTCCATCTCCCTTTTTTTGAAGTCGAAAAATAAATTCGACGAAATCGAGAATCAAATAAAGATAATCGACCTGCCACCGAGGTCTGCTCGAGCTATCCGTGTCTTTACCGTCCCAACGCTAGGAACGACAACCCAGCCCGGAGGCCTTAATCATGGTGGATTTTGGTCTTCGAACACATGTCCACCCTCGAAGGAGTGGTCGTTACATGTGACCACCCAGCCCGGAGGCCTTAGTCATGGTGGATTTTGGTCTTCGAACACATGTCCACCCTCAAAGGAGTGGTCGTTACATGTGACCACCCAGCCCGGAGGCCTTAGTCATGGTGGATTTTTGTCTTCGAACACATGCCCACCCTCAAAGGAGTAGTCGTTACATGTGACCACCCAGCCCGGAGGCCTTAGTCATGGTGGATTTTGGTCTTCGAACTGCTCGAACACTTCGACCTGCCACTGAGGTCGACAAGAAAACACACCAAAGACCACGAGACAGAATAGTAATTGATCATTTTCGTTAGTCTCATCCAATGCATAGTTATATCGAACAAGATATAAAAATAAAAAGAATCAAGCGTTTTTTCGACCTCCCTTTCATGTCTGTACATGACGACCTGAGTTGTTGTTTGCTCCACGCTTCCCACTCCTCACCATAGCTAATATTCAGGTCACCTGCTCATGCATTTTCCTCGAATAATTCAACAGATTCCATTAGTTGCATTTTATCCATATCATCTAATTTGCAATCCCGATAGCAATAAGAACAAAAGACGAATGAATCAAAGCAATCATATTGGTCCATATGCTTTTATACCACCCAATCTACATGCAAGTCTCTTTACCACGATATGAAATCGCATAACACCCATTCAAATGTATAGTCGACCAGAATTTCGCATAAACACCCATTCAAATGTATAGTCGACCAGAATTTTGCATAAACACCCATTCAAATGTATAGTCGACCAAAATTTCGCAAAACCATGAATTCAACAAACAATTACAATAAACCAGACTCTGCAGCTACAAACAATCATCAAACGAATGCACCAAACAAAAATTCAAATGAGTTACTCCCAATACCGAGCTCCTTAGTCATGACGACTCGAGACTGGCCAGCCCGAAGGCCTTAGTCGTGCCAGGTTTTGCTAGTCACCCAAATAATAATTCCAGACATATCCACATACACCACAATTTCAGCAACATTTCACCCAAAATATTCAAACAATGAATATTTTTCCCGAAAAAGAATGCTAAGAGACTCCATATGTCACCAAAATAGTGTCAGTCGATCTTGACCATTGACAAGAGTTGAGATTAATTTTATACCTGAAGGTCAAAAATGCCACTCCCAATTATCCTACCTCTCCAAAAGAGAATGATTTCTACCTCTGAAATTGCCACCTGCGATCGGCACCATCCAGACTCGTCCCTCCTTATCGCCCTGCTTTGATGGATCCATGCTCGCTCAATTTGTCCTCGAAACTACTCAACTTGTCCACCATAACTTGTCGAGACTCGGGTTATTTCGATGTTTCCTCGACAAGAATTCAAAGAGATATCGTTATCCATATTATATTCACGTCATCCATTTTGTAATTCACCACGCAAGAAAAATAAGAGATCAAATACAATCATCACTCTCTCCTCGATTTAAGATATGCTCGAGCAATGACATGCTTAAAAATTGTGAATAATCAATTCGAACAAAATTCCCCATTTTCACCTAAAAATCCAAATGAGAGGCTCCGAATATATCAACATATCAAATCATATAATGTTAATCCATCTCCTCGTACTCATCGATAAAAATTTATAAATGCACCAAATACACATCAAGCATTATCACGGAATATCCACAACTCGAAATCACAACCCGCGTTTATTTTCCATCAAATAAGTTCTCCGCGAATAAATCCAATAATATCTCTACAAATAAGTTAAGCAATGTCTCCACAAGCAAATCAAATAATTACGCGATTGAGTCAGATATCACCACGAAAAAATCAAATAATTCCACAATCGAATCCAATGCCACCACGAACCAATCCAATATCTTAGGGAATAAATCACATAATTCTACACGAATACTCCAAATAACATCTCCTCGACCAAATCAAATAACACCACAAACAAGTCAAATAATACTCCTCGATAAACTAACTAATGCTCCTTAGATAAATCAAATAGCCTCCACGAATAATCATATAATATGTTTTCATATGAATCAAATAATATCTCCAATTTTCACCAATTAATTTCCATGAGTAAATCAAATATTTTCACGGATAAATCAAATAATTCTCCTCGAACTGATTAAATAGTGCTCCAAAAATAACTCCAATATTACTCCACAAATAAATCAAACAATGCTCCACAAATAAATCAAATATTACTCCATGATTAGACCTAATAATGCTCCGCAAATAACTCAAATTATTTCTCCAATTTTCACCAATTCGAATCCTCAAGTCTCCAAATTTAAATTAGTCACATACCTTCGCTGTGAGAATAATATCTCAGATTACCTTACCGTCCTCAAGCCGGGGATATTTGTGCTCCATGGGCCGCAATGGAGATGATAGACCATAGAAAAATGTCTTTGGGCCACCAAAAATGTCTCTGGGCTGCACAATGGTGTGCTGGATCAGGTTAAAGGCGAAATGGGCCGTGCTGACGGGCTGGATTGGACGCGGGCTGCATATTGGGCCGGACATGGAGCAGCAGGGGAATGTGGTGGGCGCGGGCCACATGCGGGCTGGGATCGGGCCCGTGCGGGCTGAATCCTGAAGGGGCTCGGGCTTAGCGGGCCGGGGCTGGCCCGCGCGCTTATTGCTTCTTTCCCCTTGGGCCTCGCGCAGTTGGGCCCTCCACAGTGGGCTGCGGAACGTGGGCCTCCAAGCTTGACCTTCTCGCCGATATCTGGGATCCTGCTTCTGGGCAGCACGCTGGGCTCCCACGGTGGAACAGGTTCGGGCTCGCGCAAGCCAGTGGATCAACGCCCAGCCGGAGAAATCTGTGAACATCCACTTCACCTCGCCGGAGAAATATCACCGGAAGAAGGTCGGCGGATCCGGCAAAGGTGACCATCCGTGAGTTCGCCTTGGAGAGGAGATTCCGATGGTATCATCGGTTCAAAGTGGTTTGCCGAAAATCGATGGGAAAATGGAGAAGATGACCGGAGTTGACCACCAATTTTGTAGATCTAGAAACTTTGACCGGCAAATCGACGGCCTTTCCGACAAAATTTTTGCTTGAAATTTTAAGAGTAGAACAAATACGAGAAGAGCTTCCCGTTGACATTAAGAATTTTTCCGATCGGACAACTTTGACCGACGGCCGACTGCGGCGGCGGTGGCGGAAGACGGCGGCAGCGGCGGAGGTGATGACCTGTAAACTCGCCTCGGCGAAAGGATTCCAGTGGTGCTCCCGGATTTTCCATAGCCCTCACGGATCGCCGAAAAAATGCCTTTGAAGGTCGAATGTTGACCAAAATTTCTTAGATCCGGAAAGTTTGACCGGCCAAATCCATGGCCCCCCGGATGAATTTTCGCACGATATTTTAAGGGAAGATTCACCTCGACGAGATCTACCCGTTGACGTAAACATCTTTCCGATCCGAGTACTTTGGCCGGCTGAGTCGAAGGAGAATTTTCGTAATTTTTTTATCGGAACTCCGTTTGGCTTTTTTGAACGGGTCCCACAGACGGCGCCAATGAAGTGAGTAAGATTTCACTCGGGCTCCTTCGACTCGGTCGGCCTCCGTACCTGCAAGAACCCAACGCCGGGAGGAGTCCCGGCGTCGGGCCTCCGACGCTCAAGTCAGTATCACTCCACATCCTAAGTGTAGTAATGAATGTAGAGAGAGTGAGAGAATGGGATACCTTAGCCCCCTTTTATAGGGGGAGTGTACCTTATGGCCCATGTTGGGCTTGCCCAATAGCCTCATGCCACGTGTCCTATCCATGTGTAGACTTATTCTTCAATATATTCTCTTTTTATCCATTAAAACCGTTCCAGTATAATATCCTATATCACTAATGTAGAAAATAAACAAATATTAAGTTCAACTATGTTTAACCGTTGGAATATATACACAATCACATACCTATATATAAGTGGATCAAATGAATTTGCCTCTTAAGATGTGTATGTGAGACCAAATCTCATCCGTTGATTTGTTCATAGAATCTAGAGTCAGGATCAACCATATAAGTATAACAAATCAACACAATCTTCAGTTCGCCCGCAACAAAATCACATAGAATCTCTGAAATTTCCTTATCAATCTCGACATTCCTTATTAATATGCAATTCAATTTCATCGTCTGATTAGGGTTAATTCTTTTTTTTAATCAATTTGACAAACAAAAGCAACTGCAATTTGTCTACCAAACATAGAATCTGAAACGAAACACTTTGGCCGTGTTCATCTGGCGATTCCAGACAGAAAAAACTCCGATTCATCTGCAATGTCGACGGAAGCAACTTTAATGGAGATTGAACTCCAATGGACACCCTGGAAGAGAAGGTATCCTAACTTTTTTAAATACATGAAACTTATAAGCTAACCAAATAAGCTATAAAGTATTTATTTGTCTACCAAACATAGCCTAAGTATCATGACTGAACCCAAAACTAATGCATTTGACCATCTTCAAGAAAAAGACAACAAAGAACTCCGTAGACTGACAAGCGCGCTCATTACATGCAGAGAGACTTCCAACCTCAGACCATATAAATATATACAACAAAATAACCATCCCAAAACAATTTTCAGCACATAGCATACAACACTTGCATTCTCTCTCTCCAATTTTACCCAAATTCTCCCTCACAAAACCTAGTCATCGTCCAATTTATGCTGCCTCCTTGCAGCCGGCGCTCCGATCGCTCGCAGAGATGACCGGCCCGTGTGTGAGCTTTCTTTCCTCTGAAGGGTTTGTCTTCTTCGATGCGGCGCTTCCCCTCGTCCTGCGGTTGCGGTGGTGTCTTCGGGTGGCTCTCCGTCGATAAGGGTAGGGCGGCATCCCATTCATCGGACCTCCGGTGCTCTGGATTGAGGCTGATGTCGACTCCTCTCCTCGATTTCCCTGTCTCCTGGGATTTGATATGGGATTTCCTTCCAGTTGGAGCCTTTCGGCCTGTGTCGAGGGTTCTC